CAGACTGAAACGTGGACCAGATTATGATGTAAAACTCACAGTACAGGTTTATATTCCCCCAATACTATTGCTTTCAGAAGCACTATTTTCACATCTTACTTATATTTAGCCTTATCTGGGAGTACACGAGTTAACTGGAGAGAGCTCACTACTTATGCCATTCTTGCTTTGGTAAGTAGCCTTTTATTCTCCAGAAGGGCCATTGTCTCAGTGGGACTACGTGTTGAGTACAGTTCTACTCTGTTTTAGTAAGAATGTGAGCAAGCCCTTGGAGAACTGCAAATATTCATACACAGGATCCATTTTGTCATCTATATACTGCAAGTTTCTTGTAAAACACTCACATATTACAGTGATGTGCACAAGTACCCAATCCAGTTACATTTAAAATCACTGGCACTGGGATCAGACCTGCTATGTATGGAAATAATTCACTGGACCCACTTTGATCACTCTGTATCAAAAGTCAGTTTTGATTCTCTTAAACTAGACTAGAGAAGCACAGCTAAAAAAAAATCCTGAAGAAATCAATTTTCAGTTTTTGAGGGGTGGTCTAGATATCAGCTTATATCTGCTTTGCACCTAATACCTCTGATTCTGTGGTTACCAGCAGCCCTACCAAAGCTGGGACTCAGTATTTTCTTACTATGTATTTATGGGTATCAGTTTTTGAAATCTGAAATACAACCTGTCACACTTGCTATCGGCTCACCTAATGGAAACAAGCTAATAGAAAAGGATATTCTAGGTACTAATTTCTTAATGAAATCAGTATATGTGAACATAGTCAAAAGCAAAAGGCATTATTTTTTGTGTTATGAACTCTAAATATGACTCGTATGACAAACAGCAGGTAAAATTCATCATAATTTAGTGCAACCTAGTTTCAAGATTTAATTGGCTGAAAATTTTATTTTCTAACAATTCCTCACAGTACGGGAGCATCTGAGCTATCCTGTAATAACTTTGATTAAAGGGTTACTCCTGGCCTGTGCAAAATCGGAGGAAAAATATGAAGCTTTTATAGTCCTTCACACCACACGTGCAGCAGAACAGGAACGCACTAGCCCACAAAAGCCTGTCAAAAGGAATAATCTTTACGAGGTTCTCACTGTCATCCAGGTCACGTACCTCCCCTCCCGTGTAAAAAGACAGACTAGGACTCAGTGAGGAGTGTGAAGGCCAGAGATGTTTACTGCTATATTTATCAGAGTCCAGTACCTGGAAACACACAGGTATGCGGCTGTCGGAGGGTCATGGTTGATATTGTGGCTCAGAGGTGAGAACAGCACCTGCAGATAAATAACACAGCCTTTTCCTGCGTGGGATATGTGATTGCTATCTCGTCATACAAACTTCCTGCTTGATTTTCTAGACAAAAGTTATTTCCTTGGACTCTTTCCATTTACATACAACTGCCTGTGTGAACTGCATCTTTATTGCAAGGTGTAATATTCAGTCAAGCAGCTACATAATTTTAACAATCTTAAATATTTTGTGATAAAAGTGAGATTTAGGTCAAGTTAACAGAAATCATCTTAATGTTTCATTCTGTTTGCCAACACTGTAGGCTAATGTTTTGTCTTAAGAGTTCCAAGTACTTTAATTCTTTGCAAGTGCTAGCATGTAAATGGACAGAAGTAAGGCAGATGGAGGAGCAGTGTGAGTGACAGTGGTAATGTGAGTTTTGCTACAGGAATGCAGCTGTAACCCAGTGAGTGGCTGGTACTCCAGCGGGCATTGGTTTATAAAATTAGCACATGAAAAAATAATATAATTCGTATGAAGTGAAATATATGCAAATATACAGAATTTGCAACTGTGCAAGTTAAAATGTATTTCATCATTTGGAGATGAGTAATGACTTCTGTAGCTACGCACAGTGGGGCTGAACAACCCTCGTGCGGAGGAATTCAGGTCAGTGTTGCCTCGCCTCAAATCAAGTGTTCTCCAGGTGCATTAAGATTTGCCACCCTTGAAGCATCTGGTATTTGCTGCACCTCAACCTAATTGTTTTAATCTCCTAGACACATTAAAAATCAATTTTCTCCTTTAAAAAAAATACAGAGAACAGGAAAATAATTTTGTTTTAAAGTGCTGGAAGGATTTGGTTTACTGCAAGGCAGAGCATTAAAGGAAAGGGATTGCCGCTCTGCTACGAGAGGTCACTGCCTGCCTCAAGAAATGAGCAAGGCGATGATACATCGGTTGTGCAGCTCCCTGCTCGGGAAGGAACCGGACCCCAGGCCAGGGATGCTCCTTGAGGACCGCTTTGATAGAGGCAAAGGAGTTGGTTTTGTACATCAAGGGACGTACAGGGCTTTTACATCTACAGTGCTGGTTCAAGTTTAGCTCTGTGTGGGAGTAACCAAAAATTATAATTTAATTAATATTTGGCTTATGTGAACTCTGTTGGTGGCTTCAGCCAAGCTCGTGGAAACACATGTCTTCAATTATCCATCCTAGTTGTTTTCAACAAACAAGCAATGCAGGGAATAGTTGTAGAGCACACGCTGCTTGTTACAGGGTGCTTCTCCGGAGCAGAGCTGAGGGTCACTCCTCTTTAGTCACCCTTTGCATAAGGAGTGCAATTTACAGGGCTGGCAGGACGGCACCTTTCATGTGCTCCTGGACAACACAGCATTACGGAGATAGAGAAAAACCGTCCTTCAGAATAATTTCTGTTCAGACCTACCGGAGAGAGAAAAGACGCAGATGCTTAGGGCCTCTCAAAGGAGCAAAGTCACGTCTACAAAACACAGATGAAAATGAAACGAAGGCACAGCTATCTTTCTTTTTCTTTTTTTTTTCTTCTTCTTCTGTAGCTAATTACGTTGGCGATAAGAAGCCAATGTGTATTTATGTAAAAGCAACCTTTGCAACACCTGAGATTGAAAATAGGTAATAAACTGCCATTTCTTATATCATTCACTGTCGTCATTCTAGCACCTGTAACTACTGAGAGATCGGTGCGCAGAGATGAAGTGGAGGCTGAGGTGGGCAAAATCCTTCACTATTACCATAATTTTCCCCTGGGTATCTTCCCTAGTGGTCCTAGCATACTTCTCAACCCCGAGAGCTCTAGTTCTGCAGCTGTTTACGCTGTTTGAGCGGTTACAATTCCTTCAGGTATTTTTTTTCTTGAATTGTAACAAGAGGGGGGGAAAAGTACATTCTCCCACAGCTTTTTACAGTGTAACGAAATCTTCGATTCTGTAACTGTTCTGTTTTCACCTGCCAACTATGCCACTGTGAACACCACTGCATAGCTGTAGAGTCCGTCACTCCAGATTTCCCAGGGTAGCTGACAAGCTGTAATTCTCTTCCAGAAAGGAATAGTTCAAATTCCAGCTGAAGCCCCTGAAAGTTCACACATCATTTTGCGTATTTGAGGCTCAAACCACTGAAAATTCTACAAAAATATTTCAAATAATGTGATACGTCTTTCCTGTGGTCTGCAGAAGACCGGAAGGAGCTTAGATCTGGATAAGACAACTATCTTGATTGTCACAGATCCGGGAAATCAACAATACTTTCAATGACCTCTCCTCCCTAAAGAAAGTGCTGAGAAGTATCTATGTGCAGAAATAACGTGTTTTACACTATACACTAAGAGTTTAAGCCTCGGGTGTGGAAAATTCAGTCACATGAGATAATGGAGTTAAATCAACATCCTTTACTGCTTTCCCATTTATGAGTAAGAGGTGTAAAGTCCAGAAGGGCTCAGGTTACTTTTCCATATTCCTACATTATATTTAACATGCTCTATACAAGAGGAGGATTGGCTGGGGCCTTTCCTAGGATTTTTATGTTGCCACCAGTGGTGGTAGGGCTGTTTTCATCTACACAAGCTCTTTTGGGACGTTTGGAAGGTTTCGGACTCCAAAGACATTCAGGTTTTATAGTCTCGCAGGTAAAAAAGAACTCCTGTTCTTTGCCATAGTATTTTTATCTGGAACTCTGAAGATGTTTCAGCCTTTGTGGATGATTAACTAATGGTAGCGAAGTACTGCTCTTGTAAGAATTCAGCATTAATGATGCACTGCTTGCTGTATGATGAAAAGAACATCTGGGTAAAGACAGAATGTAAGCTTGAAGAAAGAGAGATTTCTGAAAGTTATAAATAACACCTTCAAGAGACTTTTATCTTGAGAACATCCTCTTGTTTGCTCTGCAGCTCTCGGTAACCTTCCTTCTCTTTCTGCTTGCACTGATAAATGTTTAGGAAGAGGTTTAACAGTCTTTGCACAAGGCTGAAAGCTGGGAAAAACTTGAGTTTTAATAGCTCTGGCAATGAGCAAATAATATCCCCTCTCTGCTTTAGTTTTTCCAACAATTAAAAGTGAAATAATGCTTGTTCTTCTGCTAGGATGTGACATTGATATTTACTATGGTAAAATGCTTTGAAAAGGAAAAATTAGATGTAATTATAACAACTTAATCTGTGGTGGCATTGTGTAGATTGTGTAACACTTTGCTAGCTATACAGCAAGGTTACTACCCCAGAGAATTTACAGCACAGAGGATCAGCTCCTATTTCAAGGTTTTGTTGAGTAAAGGCAGCTGGGCATTTACATTACCTGAACAAATGAGCAGAAAACAAAACATGACCCAAAACAAAATGAACCGAATCACAGTTCGTTTTCTGGTTTGGTTTTTTTTTTTTTTTTCCTGAAGGAAAAGTTAATTGTTTTATACTTTTTCTTTATTTCAGGATGGTTTATTTCCCCTGGATTACACTTCTAGCATGCATGAAGTGGGCAGGTAAAGCCAGGGATTCTCCCAGTGCCTGTTTTTTTGCTGGCGGTGGACAGTAGAACAGGAGTAGTGCCCACTACCCTTCCCGGGTCTGGAGCCACAGTGTTAGCAGATCCAAAGAGAATGATATGCCTTTATTTCCCCAAGGAGTTAAATAAAACTGGGGACAAGTTTTGCCCTTTAGACCAACATGTTAGTTCTTACTCAAAACAATCAAATTGAAGTTTCCTGATCTTTTTTACCTTGTTATTAGCGTTGACTGAGCCTCAAAAGTTACCTGATGCAAACCCACTGAGATTTAAATACTTTTCTGAACTTTCGTTTAAGCCTTCTAGGTCTGCTGCTAAACATAGCAGACGCTGAGGGATTTCTGAAGAAAGGTGGTCATGAAATGTAATTTGTATATCCATTGTTATCTCCTATTTGTTTAATTATTTATTTTCCCTTCATACTGGGTGAATCTAGAAATTGCCAGTAGAAGTCACAGGATGAATTTATGAAAATGAAAACACAAGCCACACTAAACTCCGCCCTCACTTTTGCAAACTGGGAGTCCCACAACCTCCCTGGGTGTGAAACCACTGTTCAGAGGGAGAACGTGGTACCAGAAGACAGCAGGACTGTGACTGCCTGTGAGTTGTCCAACAATGCACAAAGTCCAGCAAATCTGCCTGAGATGTTGTAAGCCAGGTACACCGACTTCTGCTGTAGAAGAGGATGATTGCGTCCTTCCTTTCTCTGTACAAAATCCTGAATGGATTATCTGCTAAAGGATTCACATTGCATGCTGTGATGCTTAGTTACTTCCAAAAGTATTTTAATCACAGAATGTGTCAGTTGTAACTTGAAAGCTACCAACATCAGTAAGCCCTGTAATGGATTTTTAACTATTTTTCATTTCTTAGATGGTGTTTGTGCCTTCAATCTGATGGATTTAAATATGGAAGAGGAATTCTGAAAGTGCTGGGAATAAAAGCGTGGGAAGACAAGCCACAAGGGGACTCGCTGCCGCTGTCCGTCTGCAAGTGATCAGAACACATCTCAGAAAAAATGGAAAAAAAGGCAACAAGCAATGAGACTGCGCCGCTGACTTCCAAGAAAGATGTCTCAGACTGTAATGAAGGAGAAGATTGCAAAGGGAACGGACTTCTGGTCAGGAACCCTAAATCTGCGCTACGGCTAGGGGAGGATGGCAATAAAGTCCATCCCAGCCAGGGAGATAAAGGGGAGGCAGCTCAGATCTCAAATGGTTATTCAGGGGTTCAGAGTTCTGTTCCCTGTAATGGAATGGGAGAGGTGGAAGATGCCCAGTCCACTGCCCCAGCAGCCACAACCACCACTACAACCACCACTTCTACCACCTGCGGAGCAGAAGGCCAGCAGCAGCTGAAAGAGCTAGAAGACAGAGAGACCTGGAGTAAAAAAATTGACTTTCTACTCTCTGTCATTGGATACGCAGTGGATCTGGGAAATGTGTGGAGATTTCCTTATATATGCTATCAAAACGGAGGAGGTCAGTGACTGGTCCTGTATGCTGTTCCTTAATGCTGAACTTCCTTGCTTATAAATGGATGATTTAGTGGCTTGTTTTAATATCATATATAACAAATGACCAAGGGGAAATTACTTACTTTTCAAGCAGACTGGAAAATCTGAATACTGGGATAGGATAACTAGACAGATTAAGATGGAAGAAAAATTATTTAGCAAGATCTAAAAAATCAGTCCAACTAGAAGCTGAGAGCCGGTTAGGTGCAGAACCACCTTCCAAGAGCAGAGCCTCAATCCCTGTCCCAAGGAGTATTTAAAATCAGATAAACCAACATGTCAAAACATTCATCGGGAATGCTAGGTCTTGGACTCCCTGACATTTCAGCCAAAATATAAATCTGTTCAAGGAGATCTTGGAAAGGACTTTTGTCTCCCTGGTGTAACAGGCATTTTATTGAAGAAATTAATTATTTTATCTGTACCCCATCTCACAGTTGTATCCATTGTAGGCAGTACAGTCTTGGTGAATCCTATGCACACTTGTTACAGAAATGTGAGTAGTTTGGCCTGAGTGTTGCTTCTTATTCACACTGCTGAGTACTTACTCTTACGAGAAAGCCCACGGTAATTCAGTGTGGGACACTGGCTAGGGAGGGGATATGTATTTTCCCCGTGGGATAAACAACAAGGAACTGTTGTTTATGAAGTGCTGGTACTGTTGGAAGAGAAGTCCTATGAAGAGTTACAAACATCTGCTTTCTTTCTTGCAGGAGCATTCCTCATTCCTTACACAATTATGGCCATCTTTGGAGGGATTCCTCTCTTCTATATGGAACTAGCACTAGGACAGTACCACAGGAATGGGTGTATTTCAATTTGGAGAAAAATATGTCCTATATTCAAAGGTAAAAAAGGGAAATGGAAAATTACTAGGAACTTCCTGAATAACTGGAAGATTTTCCTATAAAGGTGAAATTTCTGAAAAGAAAAATCTGAAAAGCTCATAAAACAAAGCAAGTCTTGTTCTACACAAGATTTTGGCTTTACAAAGAAAGCTTTCATAAAACTCTACGTACATCTGCAGAGGTGTGTGTGTGTACTCTCATATACATGTATGTCATGCAACTCTCAAATTGATTAGATAGTGGCCAGTCCACTTTCCCTGACCCAAGCCTGAAAATGTCAAAAAAGTAAACAAAAAATGTAATTAATAAAGTAAGTGAATCCAAGGCAAAGTTAAAACCAGGAAAGAATAAAGATCTTCTATTTCTATTACAAAGATATTCCAAAGAAATGATTCCCCACCTTCAGACTAGTCTGTCAATTGCTATCCTACCAGAGAGTCTTTTAGAGTAGAAGGACCTGTTCCATATGCTCGTTTACTCTTGCTCCCAGTGTTATAGCTCTGGTCTTGTCTGGTTTTATTTACTGAGAGTGCAAGATGCCTATTTCTAAATTCCAGGAATTTAGGAACAGATGAAAAAAAACTATATAAACATGTACTATCTTGATTAAGGATGCTTTTTTGGAATCGGAGCCTGAGTGTTTCCGAAGCCACAAGAAATTCCAGTGTTGTAAACATTTGAAGAGGGTATGTGTACCTCCTGCAGAACTGCCTTAGACAGTAATTGCAGTTGACATAATAACCAATTCCTTCCTTTTTTTTGGCCTAAAACTTACACTCACTTCATGTAATTATTTCCTGCCTTACTAGGAATTGGCTTTGCCATCTGTATAATAGATCTTTACGTAGCCTCCTACTACAACACCATTATGGCTTGGGCCTTTTACTACCTCGTATCCTCCTTCACGGCGGAGCTGCCATGGACTAGCTGCACAAATGCTTGGAACACAGGCAACTGCACTAACTACTTCAGCAAGGACAATGTCAGCTGGTCCCTGCACTCCATCTCTCCCGCAGAAGAATTTTATACGTAAGTGCATGTAAGTGAGGACAGTAATATTAGAGAGAATGGTGGAACATGTAGCAAGCTTTTCTTTGGAGGGGGAGCAGGGCTGTTTATTAATGGTACCCTTTTCAGAACTATTCCAAGAACTAAATACTTGTAGGCGCACGTAAGCTTAGGGTGTATGGGAACGTACTCTACATTTTAGATCAGAGGTTCCCAACCATTGTCAGCTGTCATCACTTAGCATTTATCATCACCGGTGTACCATTAATATCAAGCTTTTAATTAACAAAAAAAAATAATCTAAAATAACATGACTCTGAAGGCTAGTTATCAAAGACTCAGGACTACTTGTAGTGCTCAGACCACAGTATGGGACTGTTCAAAGCATACTTAACATAAGCATTTGTTAAAAAAATATCTATACTGTGTTTTTCTTTCCTCTTTCAGCCGCCAAGTTCTACAGGTGCACAGGTCCAATGGGCTGGATGACCTGGGGGGCATTAGCTGGCAATTGACCCTCTGTTTATTGTTAATCTTCACCATTGTATACTTCAGCATCTGGAAAGGGGTCAAAACATCTGGCAAGGTGAATGCAAAAGCAAGACAAATCAACTTGGTACAGTACAGTCTAGCAGCAGTTCTACATGAGCCAATTAATTAACTTGACAGAGAATTATCTCAGATTGTCTTCATGACAGGGATTATAGGCTCATGTATTTGGGAAGCACTTACTGTAGAGTGACTGCTAGTTATCCAAGTAATATATAACAACAGTAAGTTACGCCACTGTTCTCTGGACAAGAACAACCCTGCCAAGAGAAAGCGTGGGTATAGCTGTGCAAACTGCCTGCTTACAGACCTTCTGAGAAGTTCACAGGAAGATGTTATAAATGCTAAGAGCTATAATAACTCATTCTTATCACCTGTTAACTTTCTACCCATGGCAAATGCTCTCTTACTGTTTTCCCTCGCAGGTGGTATGGGTGACTGCCACGTTCCCTTACATCATACTCTTTATCCTGCTAGTGAGAGGTGCAACTTTGCCAGGGGCTTGGAGAGGTGTCCTCTACTATGTGAAACCTGACTGGCAGAAACTCCTGGCCACTGAGGTAAAAAACGTTATAAAAGGGTAGAGATTTGCTTTTAGTCTATCAGCGTGTATATACTTCAATGTCTATTTTCAGCATAGAGCATGATTAAACAGATGTCTTAGCATGGACTTAAAAGCCTGACTTCATGCTCTCGTTTAAACAGTCATGCTATTCTTTCCATAATCGTAAAGATTTTTTTTAAAGATTAAGAGTCCACCATCAGTTTAGCTTGAACTAATAGTAGAGTTCCCATACAGCGGTTGAACAGAATTAGTGATAGGATTAGAAAGAAAACAAGTGACCAAACAATTTTTTGCCGGGAAAATGGTGAGCAGCCTGACATTGAGCAAGAAGCTATGATTGCTGCTACACTGCAACAAAATCCTTTACCTGTGACAGTCACACTGAGCAAACTGTATTTACTACGCCCTAACAACTGGTCTAGCTGCAGTGTTTTTGGTTGTAAGGGGATCATTACATACTTGGGCAGGCTTTTCCACAGCCCAACGGTGTCCACAGTTGCCCGTATTTAAATAGTGCAGGCTACTAGAGTTGAAACTTCAGATCTCTATCCTGTGACAAGCTTTGGCAGATAAGCCCAAGGAGACTCTCTGTAGCCACCAACTAAAACATGAGCCAGTAATGCATGCAAGTGCATGTGGAGAGAGAATAAATCAGTTAGGCCTGCATACACCACCAAGATTTGAAAAGAAAGGAGGAATGAGGACAAGACTGAGCTAACCAACAAACCCCAGGCATTCCAGTATCTGATTCAGCTTTGAACTCTGTGGATGACAAGTAGTCCATCAGGCCCAAGGCTGCACTTACTTCACTGCCTATGAAAGTGTCTAGTGAGGAGGGTGATGGAAAAACCCCAAAGCAATAAATACTACAAATACAAAGATTAAAAATTCTAATGTTTGCAAGTCTGCTGCTGCTCGCCTGATACAGAGAGTTTTGAATGAAGAGGAAATGAAAAGACACCAGTCTCTGATAAAGCAGCATCTCCAATAAGGGACCACATCTTCTGAAAAAGCAATAAAGGGCATTGATATTGTATTGGTTGTATCTGAAGTGAGGACAGCAGATTGCAATCTGTGTGCTGGACGGTGACAGAGCTCTGTCTGTGGATGATACAGGATGGCCTCACACGATGGATGAAAATATTAGAAATGAGTTGTAATGAACTCCATGTTTCAATCAAAAGAGGATAAATGAATGAGGACTTTCACCTTCAGAAAGAGAACTGATATTGCACTTTAGGAACACTACTCATTAAGGCTGTGGCCACTTTTCAAGTGCAACAGGCTTTTCATAACAAGATCATCACACTTGCATCTGTCATGGCTACAACAAAGCTGAAGTGAGTCCTAAGGACTAGAACTGCATCCACACTGTCATGTATTTCCATTAAGTCTAGGAAAAATCTGAGCAGCGATCATCTACTGCTGAGCCTGGAAGACACACAGCCAAACACAGGACTATTCCGTAGCGCACACAGTTTGGAGGAAGGTGGGCCAAGCCCACTGCAAAATCATGGATAGAACGCTCTCTATACATAACAAAAATTGTGTTAAACTGATTACAGGCAATTCACCATGAATTAATCTAAGATGCTGTCAGAAGTGAAACTGCCAGTGAGTACTTATAATAGTGTAAAGAGATACAATAAGCACAGCATAGGCACTGTAATTATAGTGGGTATTTACAACTCTCACAGATCTACAATAAATATTCATATTTCAACATGCTCTCTTAACAAAATGTTTGTTAGACCAGGACTAGAATATAGGCAGACTAATGAAACATGGTTTTGTAGGGCTACGTGATATTCTGAATATGCCAAAATCATTCGATCTGTTTCATGTAATTTTTTCTTGATCTTCAATGTTTTTCAGGTTTGGGTGGATGCAGCAGCTCAGATTTTTTTCTCCCTTGGTCCAGGTTTTGGGGTCCTATTGGCTTATGCCAGCTACAACAAATTCCATAACAACTGCTACCAGTGAGTTCTACCTTATTCTATACGTAAAATTGAGTTTAAAAAAGTAACTGTGGGTATTTACAAAAAAGAAACACTGGTTTCACATAACTGTCACCAGTGCTGGTGAAAGGCACTGAATTGTCAGACCTGTGTACATACAAATCAGACAGAAGTGTAACAGAACAAAAGTCCTTATTGAAAGAACCTGCAATCTAAAACATTTCCTCTCTGTTGTGCCTACCCTAAAGAGATAATCTCTACCAATTACAGCAAGGAGCCTAACATGTAGAAACCTGCCATAACAAAACGGACTAAACCCCTGCCAAACAATCACATTGTAATTATTTAATCTCAGCAGTTAGGAAATTACTTTCGAGTCTTGAGCTGAAAGGCAATTTATAGTTGTTTCCTTGTTGTCTTAAAAAAATTCTATTTATAACTTGTAAAATAAAATTCTGAATTCTTGACTATTCCTATAGTAATTCCTTTTAAAAAAAAAAAAAAAAAAGCCCAGTATACATCCAGCATTCAATCCAGTGGCAGACCAATGTTACAGCATCTGTTTGAAGTTGAAGAAGAAAAAGTAGCCGTGTGCTTTTGGTGGTTTTTCTTTTTTTTTTTTTTCCCCTCCTCCTTTCTTTCAAATCTGCTGCTTGTTCTTTTCATTGTACTACCCTAGTTTTTGTAGGAGTCTATCCAGATCCGTGACTCACTCCATCTAGTAGTTAACTGTCCTTTCTAGCAGATGCCAATTCCCTGATATGAGTTAGGTCTTCTGTTGCAGAGATGCTCTGGTTACCAGTACCGTGAACTGTTTGACTAGTTTTGTGTCTGGATTCGTCATTTTCACTGTGCTGGGATACATGGCTGAGATGAGGAACGAAGATGTATCAGAGGTTGCCAAAGATACTGGTAGGCTAACTTTCTGTACACATCTCTCAAACTGCTTCTAAGATAGAATGTATTTGTATATTATCTTCTACATTGAGAACAGCCCAAATTAGGCAAAATATTTAGTATTTAATTCAGGATACTGACTTACTTTATGAGAAGGGCACTGTTATGAATATACAGTACAGCTAAAAAATTATTCCATAAAGACAGCATATAGAAGTCATATTGCATGAAGCTTCACAGACGTGGTGTTAACTGCACGCTGCAAAATAGCCTGCGGGGGAGAAGTTTTCCCCTGGAAGACAACACGGTACAGTGAAACAGCCTGCCCTCCGCGCAGCAGAAGCGCGCTAACAATTATCCCTAATTCTCTGTTCTAATATCAGGACCCAGCCTCCTCTTCATTACGTATGCTGAGGCCATTGCAAACATGCCTGCTTCCACTTTCTTTGCCATCATCTTTTTCCTGATGTTACTCACACTGGGATTAGACAGCACGGTGAGTAGACGGTATGCGAGACAGCAGACCTCTCGGATATTTGGTGTATGGCCTTACCCCCACAAACATCAGAAGAAACAGAACTACAAATATTGCACTGTCACTAAAGGGTTTAAAGCAGGATTGGCATCTCCATATGCCTTCTGTAAGACAGCAACTATGACTCCAATTTTGACCTAAATAGGCCTAAATAAAATTAAATGATTTGTCAGTTATACCATGACAATTAGTAACAGACCTGGAAACACAACCAAAGCAGTTGATTCATAAACACCCGGTTGAATGCAGCCTTCCAGGCTCCTTCCCTCTTGTACTTGTAAACTTACAAAGCAAATATTAAATACTGAAATTTTTTCACACTAATTGGATTTCAAAGGTGGGAACTGGAGGTGGCCTTCTCAACAGCACTGCGAAAAGGAGATGTTCTAAAAACTTGCCATGTGAGCCTGTTTTTACAGATTGAGAATAAGCTCCTTCCAGGAAGGCTAAACTCAGCTGATTTCACAATCTTGGTTCGACTGAGCCACCTACCACTTACCGGCATCCTGTTACTTGTAATAGAATACTTTCTCTAGATGGTAGGCACTTCCTACAGACAGGTGAAGGCTAAATCCCCACCTTAAAAAGTTTAAAAGTTCTGAAGAAAGACTGTCTAAAGAACAGTCACACCAACGCTACAGGCAGAATAAAGCACCAGTGTTCAATGCTTTAAAGCTCCTTATGCATTGAAACATACTTTAAAGCAGGTGAAGCTGCCCTCTATCTTCCAGTGATTTTTCCATGCTTTTCAGTTTGCAGGACTAGAGGGCGTGATTACGGGAGTACTGGATGAATTCCCGCATGTCTGGAGCAAACGCAGGGAATTGTTTGTCCTTGGTCTGACCATCATTTGCTTTTTGGCGTCATTAGCAACCCTGACATTTGTAAGTATTTTACCCGTTCCTCGGCCTTCCTTACTGGCAGTTTCCTGCAAATGACATCTTGGAGAGGGTAGTAGTTTTTGAAGCGAGTTTCAAGAAATCAGACTAAATCTTCAGCCTGTTTTCTTTATGCATTAGAAATCTATCTTTGGAATGAATGTGAACAGTATCTCTCACTAGGAAATGTGTTGCAAAATGATCCTATTGCAATTCAGCAAACCTCTAATGTGCTACACATCATAAATGAGGCAGCTATTGCTCCAACTGCTGAATCAGTAAGCAACCTTCCACATTTTGTACACGGTTTATTTGTTCTCAAAAGCTCTGCATTTAAAAATAATACGAATTGTTATTTTAATTTTCCCAATGTTCGAAATGTATTTTGAATTAAAAAAAGAATGATCAAAAAATTATCTGCTAGAAAATGCTGTAATTGACTGTTGCTGTTCACCAAAAATTTCTAGCAATTAATTTCCTGGATCTTCCTCATCAAATCAGGCCAGAAATCATGATCAGTCACACCAAACAGTCCCTGTGGGGCTTGTGGGATTTCATTTTCACAACAAGCAACGTTTTGAATAATGACTGTAACGATCATAAGGGACAAGGAAAAAATACTTGGCTTTTCTGTCATGCTTCACTCCACTTGCTCACTTACGTGCAACTTCCTTCTCATTTAAAGCATTTGCTGTAAAAGGAGACTTAGTTCCTCTCCGAGACACAATGCTCTCCTCCTTCATCTGATTCTAGATCCCAAATGGAAAGAAAGCAAAGGAACTCCCTATTTGTTTCCTGCTCAGTAACTATGGCACCTTCTTTCTCCAATCTGAGCCATCACAGAAGGCATGCAAAAAGCCATCCCATCAAGCCCCACCAAATCTCTTTTGTTCATTAAAATCCAGCTAGAACTGCACAGATTCAGTTTTAGCTTTTCTGCACGGCACCAGAGAGCAGATCAGCAGCACGCCCAAGGATTTCACTGGCAGGAACTGCCACAAAGCGACAGAACTGACTGAATTACCCATCTGTGAATGCTCTGGTCCAGATGAAGGCAATAATAAACAACAGTATTACAGCATTTCCATCACTGGATCTTTGGTTCACTGGTAATATGATCTGCTTTCTAGGGAGGCGCGTATGTGGTAAAGCTGTTTGAAGAATATGCCACCGGTCCCGCTGTCCTAACAGTTGTGTTTCTGGAAGCAATTGCTGTGGCCTGGTTCTATGGTACGTTTACTGCCACATTGATAAACAACGCTATCCCAAACTCCTGAGCTTCTGCAGCATGGCATTTCCTCTGTTTCTGCAGACAAGATCACTGATGTCTCAGGAAAAAAGTTTACCAAAACTTGTTACAAATTCACCGATTACCAAATCTGTGAGAATTATATAATTGTTCTCTGACAGAAGTACAGTGACATCTCAAAGTAACAAGAGCTTATAATTCAGAATAATTAAGGAATTAATATAATTAAGTTATACGACCAAAACAGTCTGTCATGATGGATTCTGAATTTATTTGCTGCGTATACAAAATGGCGTATATATTTACTTACAAAAAAGTTCCATCTGCTGTCACCACTCTCCTCCCACTTGTCTCCACAGGCATCACCCAGTTTTGCAACGATGTGAAGGAAATGCTAGGCTTTACCCCAGGCTGGTACTGGCGAGTTTGCTGGGCAGCAATTAGTCCCATCTTCCTTCTGGTGAGTTTTCTTTATAGCTTTTTCTTTCCAGCACAAGAAAATTAGCATTGAACAATGCAGCTACTTAGACTTCTAAAAATTTACTTACAGAATTTTCTTGTGAAGTTCTTTAGTAACAATTCTTGTTAAACCAAAAAGGCTCAATTAGTGAAAAATCCAATACAATGCTGCAAGGTCTTGTTACTAATCACTATTTTAAGGATTTTTGTAGATGAGCTAGATGAGTAAGACTGGGTTCTGAGTAACTCCCCTCCTTCCCTCTGCTGAGCAAAGTTACTTTGTTTTATTGCTTTATATTTACCTCAGGAAAATGAAGCAATAAAAGATGATGATGAAACATAGTCTGGGGAGGAGAACCAAGATAAGTGAATACACTGTCTCAGCAACCGCTGACTGACAACTTTAGAATATTCCACTTAAAATTTACAGCAGTTAATTGCAACCTTTATAGATCTATAATTCAGAATTGGAAATACTGTCCCAATGTCTGACTTGGCAGTATTATTGATAACATTTTAACATAAAGTGTTCATTTCCTGATCCAAAATTAGTTCACGCTATCTTTCATTGTTACTAGCCTTAGTGTGAGCAGAGCGGGTCAAGACGGGGTTTATGAAGCACAGAATGTAGATTTAAGACCTAAAGAGTGAATTCAAAACACTTGTAATGATCAATGCACAATTAACAGATTTCATTTTATTACCCCTAGAAAAAGAAAGGAAAAATAGCTATAAGTAAGTGTGACACCACAAGTAACTTTTATACTACTGTCCTCTTTGTGATCCTAAAACAGTAAAATAAACAGAGAGGAATACAGCTCTGGCGGTGTGGTTACTAGGCAGAACTATTTGTATTCCCTGTGGAAACCAAACTAAGGAAAGCCCAGAAGGTAGTATGCTTTTCCTGTATGGAAATTTTTCTGGTAATCCTGATCTTCTGATGATACTCTGGAAAAAACAGTCTCAGAGATCCTTCTAAGGATAGTCACAAATATTATTCCTGTAATATTCAACTAAAAGTAGTTGTTGTTTCACAAGAAATTTTTCAGTCATGAAGGACGTGCACAGGAAAATGATCTAACAGCATTAATCGAGCTGACACCAGAATACTATATCCAAACTAGTAATAACATTTGTAAATCTACTGAAGAACCGAAATGCTATGGAAAAATATCACAGAAAAGATAAAACTTATAGAAAACAAGTAACAGTGAAAAAAATGGAATCTGTATAGCTTATCACAGACAAAACTGAAAGCTGATGTGATTACCACAGGTTAAGTACTTTAACAGTATTTGAAAGAGTATTAAAAGGGTCTACAACCCAATAAAGAACAGCATAAAAAAACAACACAGTGGCTGTGAGTTAAAATTCAGACAAAGCAGAACTGACACTGATCGTGATTAAATATGGGACAAGGAGCTAAGCTAAGGGAAACTGTACACTTCCCATTTCTGGTGGCTTCAGATTAAGATGATGCCTTTCTGGAAGGGAGGCTTTAGCTGGAATCAAGTTATAAGGCTCAATACAAGGGTAACTGGATGAATTTCTGCACACTGGAATCAATCAATCTGATTTTGTCCATCTAACATCTTTTTATCCTTTAAATGTAGAAGTACGATCCTGAATTTTCTCTCCAATGCTTCTTAAGCAAGAAACACACCACGTGTATTTACGGAGTAAGCAATCCACATGAGAATTTTTACCTAGTTCCTTTCAGTTAGTTACTCGTTGGGCTCTACTCTAAAGCTCCTGAGCTGTTTTAAACTTCCTGAAGGAAAGTCTGAATATCCAAAAGTGGGTTTGGGTTGTTTTGTTTTTTTGTTTTGTTTTAAATCCATACTAATGTCATTTAGGATTTTTTCACTGTCGACATGTTTAAACCTTCTTGAGTCCTACTCATTTTTTTTTTAGTTCAATGCTATGCTGGGACACAGAGCTCCCTAAAGTAAGTATGTACACATATTCATACTTTCCTCTTTTCTTTTTCAGTTCGTCACTTGCAGCTTTCTGTCCAATCCTCCTGAGCTACGGCTTTTTGATTATAATTATCCCTACTGGACCACAGTAGTGGGTTATTGCATAGGAACCTCTTCTATCATCTGTATTCCAATCTACATGGTTTATCGGTTGATCATCACTCCAGGAACACTTAAGGAGGTATCCATGATGCTCTGTTGATTCTATTTGACTGTTAGGAAGGAGTGGATTCCTAGAAATATTACGTGTAGATTTTTCTAGGGTCTGATGCCCTGGGACTTGAGAATCACTGCTGTTCTGTTCCTAGCCAGCTGATAGCTAATTGTCTTCTGCCCATTCTAAGTGATTCACAAATCTCCCCAGGTCTTCCTGAGCCCACTGACATATTCATATAAAATATTTCAAAATATATTTCAAAATATATTCAATCAATTATTTTTTTTTTAAGCTCTGGTGAACTGGAGGCTTTTCCTAGAAATCACACAAGACACAGTATCATGCGAATGAGGCAGTAAAATATTGGTTCCCTTGGGTATATCTGTAAGAACAAGTTCTTTTTCTCTCCCACACTTAGTAAGATTTCTCTGCCATAAATCTGTGGCAATCTGTGATGACATTTTTGGGGTTTCTTCTAAGTTCATGTAAATACCAGTTCAGAAAGAGTATTTTCAGTTGGCTCAGGGTATCCAAGTAAACTGCAACGTCCTAAAGCATTAATACGACATCTGTCAAACTTTGATTCAAATTATGTCTTACAAATAATTAAAAAAATGCTGTGTACTTCTATAGCACCTTAAGTCTTCACAGAGCTGAAACATCCTTGTGTGGTTCAAGAGGTATAACTCAAACCAGAGTCGTATTTTTATTATAAATTTCTTTCCAGATGGCTGTCATGTTATATATTATCTCTAAAATGAATCAATTTCTAATATTTATTTCTTTCCGACAGCGTATTCTGAAAAGCATTACTCCCGAAACAGCTACGGAAATTCCTTTTGGAGACATCCGCATGAATGCAGTATAAGCGAACCTGTTTTCTGGGGGGAGAGAGGGGGAGCATAAAACGTAACTTTCCCCATACTCTCTCCCCCAAAGAATTCCGTTTCCAGCTGAGACAACGAATGGAGGAGTTTTCTGTCACTGACAACGGGCATTTGGAAACAGGATGCCTCCAGCACATTTATCCAAGCAATTCAATGAAATCTACTGTGCACTTCTAACCAGACTGAATGAACTGACTGAGAACTAATTCATTCTGGAAACACGAGGATGTCTGTGTGCATGAGAATACCACTACTCCATGCGTGGGCACTGGGGCCGTTTGAAAGTGTGCGTGATCGCATAAGCCACTATAGGACGAGTATCGGTGGGTAGGATTAGGCGTAGAATCCCAAGTCTGTGGCAGTACTCCTGCATCTTCCTCAATGTGATCGTTCGTACTGGGCAATGTCGTATTCGCTTCTAAGGTTCTAATTGCTTAAACTACATTGAAAAATACAAAAATATTTCTGATAGCCACACATTACTCAAGTAACACAGGGTTTTATAAACTAGGAAAAAAAATTAGTAAATTCTTCGATCCCTAGGTAGTGGAGTAGACAGAGGAAGAGGAAACAATCCTCAGCAGCACTATATACAGCTCTGCATATGTTAGCACACACATTTGGTAGCATTATCCTCTTTTTAATTTCCTGCATTTTGTAGATGGTAACAGTCTCTATTAATTATCGCATAACAAATACTACAAAAGCATTTTTTGTCATGTTGTAGGCTTCACTTTCCTTTAGACCCAATCAAGCCACAAAAAACTCATCATGGGTTACTTGACAAGTACCTAAGGTGCTAGCACTTACTATCCTGTTTTCGTAACTAAGCTAGATGTTCACAAAATTATTGTCCTGACAGCCCTAACACACACCCAAAGAGACTACAGACTAACCATGAATTTTTTTGAGTTCCAATGCCAAAAAGTGGAATCTTAAAGATCTGCTTCTCCGCTTTGCTGTGTTTTGTTTTGTTTTGTTTTAATTTAATTTCACACCTAACATTTGCTGGAGCCTGTGGCTTTTTCTATTCTTTCCTAGTACAGAACTAAAGTTTAGAATAATCCTTTTGGCTGGCTGACAGAAGTACGTTTAACAAACTATACAAACCTACTTTCAAGATTTAGTAGCTCATATTCTAATGTGAACACATTTGGTTTTCACTCTGAAGAAGAAAAGGAGGGGAAATTTTAACAAGGAGTAAAGTTCCGCAGGATTGATTCTCATCAGAACTATTTATATTAAATTTTGAGGCACTGATTTACAAATTCATTTCCATGCACATACTAACCTCTTTATATTATATGCATACACATGCTCTCCAAATGTAACTGCCCTTCAGACTGACTGCAATTGCCAAGTCAGCTGGAGGACGATAGTTTTGCTGCAGTTACATGAGAGTTTAGATAAACCTAAGTAATCATCATTTATGTAAAAGCTTACATTCTATTTTTACTCTACCACATAGATTATAACAAAAGTAAAATAAAATAGAGGATAAAAGTCTCTTTTGTATCTCACAGTCTACTTAGGTAACGTACTGCTAAAATTAACAAGGTTATATATGCATTCGTAGCAGCAGGCATTAAGAAACCTAGTGAAGAGTTTACATCGGTATGAAGAACTTACCACATCAGAGGAAAGCAGTGATGGTGTGTTTGCCTTTTGAAAGCTTTTTCATCTTCCGCCAAGGTTTTTTCTCCTTCGGTGTGCAGACACCTCCTGGAGGAAGGCCCCTTACACTTCAGCTATTGACTTGAGTTCACTTAACTTTAGGTCTCAAGCCCAGCTTCCAATAAGGAAATGACTTAAAGGGACAATGGCTGTTCTTTCGGAACAACAAACAAAAGACTCCTAAACTGTTTTTAAAAAGGGAGTACGTTCTTGCATTGCCACCAGAAAAACATAATAAATCTGTCTTACTGGACAGTTACTCGTAAGAAATAGTTTTGTAGCTTATCCCTCAAGTATATTTGAAAACTACCTCCAAAACTGGCTTCATTGTGAGGAAAAGAGGAACAGTTTGGGAATGCTTTTAATATTGGAAAGCCATTTAGTTATTAAGTTACCAATCAGAAAATTACTGATTTAAAATAAAAAATATTATGTTATGAGTTCATTAATTGAAAAAATACTTATGAAATGTTAATGTAAGATGAATGAGGTGCCCCTATGTATCCAATATCAAGTGTGGGAAATAAAGGAGAAAACCCTACCCAGCTTCTCCATTCTTCAGACTGGTGTTCAAATAATGCTAGGTGTTTTTCCTCCTAAACAGGTAAGTATTTAAATAGATAAATCTTACAACTGGAAATTCTTGCCAGACTTGATACTGTTTCATGCTAGGCTCATCAAACCAAACCAACCGACCCAAAACTTACAGTTCCAATTTTTAGTCATTTACATATACCCAACTTGCAAAAGCCTCTTTAAACAGACGTTCTGCTACCTTTTATTAGGAAGGATGAAGGCGGGGACAAATAGTTGAGTTAAATATAAGCATTATCTGCATCCACACCAAAGTTTCTCTTTCAGCCCTTGCAAACAAACTCAAACTGGGAACATTATTTCTAATGGAATTATTTGCAGAGTAATAATTGCAGAAATCACTGCTATTTAGTGTGCAACACTACTGATGTTATTCTTTTATAACAGCATTTGAAATGGCAAAAGATGCCTCTTTAATTTGTATTTTTTAAGACACTAATATACAACAGACACTGTCTCTCTGGGCGCTTTTAGCACAGAACACTGAGCAAGGAATGCCACTGTTTTCTAGTGGACTAAAAGTCAGCCAAGCAGCCCTGCAACAGTCACAGTGTAAAACAGGGCAGGGTCTCTCAGCTTGAATTTCTCAGTTGAAAAATGAGAATAATGCACTCTGAGTACAGATGTACTGAGAGAGGTGAAAGTTTTTAAAATCACTTGAAGATACAAAAGGTGATGTAGACATGCAAAGTCACAGGGAAAGTATTTTTACAAATAGGCAGTCCAGAAGATCATTAGTGATATGATTCTATGTTAGATCTTTGCTCTCTTTTCACCAGGGTAATCCAGTCCGAGGTCTTTATGGGAACAGGGGGCAAGGAAGCCCTCCAGAAGTGGATTAAAAAGGCTTTTCTTTTCCTGAATAATACAAAGATAAAATACATCCATGTTTTCATTCTATAAAAGCTGAACTTGCAAGGCAGTTTAGTTCCCCCCCTTTTTTTTTTTGGTTACATGGCATACCAGTTTGAAGTCTTCTAAATATTCTTGTGATAAGTTCATTTTTTAGTATCTCTGTTTAGCTAAGTGGTTGAAATATTGAGAAATTGATTTAATTTATTTTTATCGTTGATTCTTTTTTCTTCCTTTTACATATCTATCTGAAAACATTCAGAGTAACCAGTATTTATCAGATAGCTCATCAAGTAGCCATACGTTAAACACTGGTTTTGTACAAAAACTAGTTATATTGATACCAAATGGGCTGCACTGCAATTAAGTGTTCTGAGGCAAACAAACAAATTCTCTTCAGCTCACCTTCCGCTTCTCTATCACACGAGTATATCCTACCCTCTATTCTGAACAGTGAAAAGGAAGTTATGAAACTGGTAAATTAGGACCATGTTTGCCTTTGAAGCAAAGAGAATTAAACTGGAGTTTTAGCTGTACAGAACTAAGTATTGCCTCCAACTTGTACATGATGCACCTCTATTAATTTATGCGGCTGTTTAGTTACAAGTGTTGCAAGCTGATTGTAAGTCATCAGTATGTGCCTTGTACTGTAAACTGTTATTGTAATAAATTTAATATAATCCATTTGTAGACGTCTCTTGTGCCTCTCTCTTACGGGAAGAGCAAAGATAAGACTCAATTCCAAGAAAAAGCAGAGTATCTAGTCCAGTTTACTACACCAACAAGGCCTCTGACAAACAGCAGAGGATGTCCTTCAGTGTTTGAATCTTGGCCCACTGCTAAACACTCCTTCATTCCATTCCAACAGAAGAACCAATGCACATTACATTTGTTTAGACAGAACAGCAAAACCAAATTGATCCACACTTGGAGTAAGCACTTAGCTACTTGATTAGCTTACATATAAAACTCATTCCATTTCAAGTCTTTGTAAACTGGCAAGCTTGGCATTTAATTTTACTCACATTTTGTCTAATTACTAAGTCTGATGAACAAAATATTAGAAAAACACCATCTCAAAAATCTTTTTTTTTATATTAGTTCACCTTACTGTAGCATAAAAGTGAAAAACTTACTACAAAACAAAGTGAAAGAAACTATTGTGAAAAGTGTCGAAAACATATTCTAAAAACTATGACCACTGTCAGATATCCTACTTACTAGGTTATAGTTTGGAGATAACTTTATTCTTGATTATGAACCTTTGGACAGATTGACAAATCTAAAATATTACCTCCAGCAGAACAAGCAGATATTACTGTAATACATGAAAAGGGACTCATATACCTTATTTCACGCAAAAAAGATGCAGTAAAATAACACAAGCATTAAGAAAGACCCACACATTAGATCCAGTATGAATCTTACACTTTATTTAAGTGTTTCTGTACATCAGGTCCCCAAAATCAAAGCCCACACATAAATACAAAATTCATATATCAATATGCATTTAGCTTACAAAATGCCATACTACGTACAGAAATCTCCTAGGTTATTATTCAGGCTGTTTTTCTTGCTTTTTTCCCCACTTTTACAGGTCTGCTTCTCATTTTTGAGAGTATCAGTGGGCAACAATGACTCCTGCTAAGGCCTGAGAACACCTTTGTTTCAGCAGAGCTCACTGTTTCAGCTGGTGGAAGGAGCAGGGGCTGCCAGGGGGAAGTATTCTCACCTCACATTAACACTCTGAGGTCTGTCCCAGAATCTTCAATTATCAAGGATAGGGTACTGAAGGCCAGGGTGGACAGAGTCAGCCAAATTTAATATTTCAACTGTATCAACAGACTAAGGGTGTGTACCAAGTGATCCAGTAATCCATTTCAAAAGTTGTTCTTCTACTATGGCGCACACAATTTATTAAATGAAAGCCAGGAATAAATAGCTAGGATACACTTTTACTTCTGTACAAGAGTCCATGCAGCAGTGGCTTTTCCTCTTGGCTGACAGACCAAGTGTTTTTGCCCACCGCAGGGACATTAATCTTCTTCCTTCTCAATGTAAGATTTAGAACTGACACGTGCCATTTGCCTGGCTAAATAGCGGTCCCTTGCTGACATGACTGTCTCTTCATTGCTCCGTTTGGCAAATTTGCTCATGCTCTCAGATGGTTTCTGTGCTTGTTCTTTCTCCTCTTTCTCCCCTTCTCCAGCTTTACGTTTCTGCTCAGACAAAATTCCAGAGCTGGATCTTCCCTTCTCATCCACCTCTCTCTCTTTTCCCGTTCTCTCTTTTTCCAGATCAGTCTCTCCACCTTTTTCTAAAGATGTAGGAGTACCTTCCCTCCTCTCTCTGTATTTCTTTTCATCACGACCATATTTCTCTCTCCTCTCCTTCACATGATCCTCCTTTTCTCTGCATTTCTCTCCTCTCTCCTTCTCTCTGTCGTTATATCTTTCTTTACCATTTCTTAGTCTGTCTTTCTCTCGTTCCTTTTCTGAGCCCTTCTCTTCTCTCTCCTTTCCCTTCCTCCATTCTCTGCTATGTCCCTCCCTCTCTTTTCTTTCCTTCCCCCTTTGTTTACCATCTTGCTCTTCCCTCCTTCTGTAGTTATCTTTATTAGTGTGAT